CACATATTTGTACAAAATACTCTAAATCACTCAAAGTATCAGTGTTTGAGAAACGAGTTATGAGAATGTATGTATGATGCACCAATTTTATGTTTATTGTCATTCAACTTTAATTGAAGTTTTATACATTCCCTTTAAATTTTAGTCGAAAGCCTTTTACATTCTAGTCTTTTATTTAAAGCATTACATTACTACATACGAAGTAACAATTGAAATCAACTTTGTTTAAAAAGAATAAGAATGCTATCAAAAGTATTCTTCGTTTCAAGAACAAAAGTTTTGAATGAGAACACATGTACTTAGGATCAATTTGGTCGATCCTGCGAGTCACCAATTTTTATTCGATTTGGAAGACCAACGATTGTTTACCAAATTTCACGGTAAACACATAGGAAAATGACTGAGGATATCTAAGCCCCACTAGTAGAACAGCCATGGGAAGTCACTGAATGCAGAAGCTCGGATGGTGAGTGTATAAGAGGGGCATATATTTGGCATTTATCACATTTTCTGACAAACCAGGCACAATCGTGTAGCATGCTCGACCAGTAATACCCAACCCAGAGTATTTTACCTGAGAGTTCCCTTACCCCAATATGACTTCCACACACCCCCTCTTGAACTTCTTTCGTTATTGGTCTCACTTCCTCTTAGGATATGCACCTTATCATTGGTGTTGAACTGCCAATTTTGTATAGTTTATCGGAAACCATCATGTATCTCACTGATATCCTTCTAATATGTCGGTCCTCCATCTCGTCATCGGGTAGATGATCATGGGTGAGATACTATATAATGGGTAACATCCAGCCCCGAGCAATCTCTAAAGCCATGACCTCCTCAGCCATTATGCTTGGTGATTCTGATGTTTCCTGAATGACCGGTCTGCTAAGCTCTGGGCCCTTGGTACTGGATAACCGGGCTAGTAGGTTGGCTCTGGCGTTCTCCTCCCTAGGAATTTAAGATACTTCAAATTCTGTGAATTCCTTGGATAACTGCAAGGTTCGTTGTAGATATTTTAACAGAGTTGGATCCTTCGTCTGATTGTTTCTAGTGATTTGGTTGGCTATTAGTTAAGAATATATTCGTAGTGACAAATGAGTAACACCTACTTCCTTGACTAATTTTAACCCGACAATAATCACTTCATATTCTGGTTGGTTGTTGTTAGCTTGAAAATTGAAGCATAACGACTGCTTAAGAGTCACATCCCTCATGCCTTCCAATACTATTCATGCCCCGCTGCCTTTGAGATTAGATGAGCCATCAAACAAAAGTATCCATCATTCCAATATTTCCTCGGATGAAGGGGAACTAAACTCGACAAGAAAATCTGCCAAGAATTGGGATTTAATGATTCTCCTAGACTCGAATGTTATGTCATACTCTGACAGCTCCATGGACCAAGACACCATTCTTCCCTGCAAGTCTGGTTGGTTTCTTCAATATTTGCTCACGGGATAGTTCGTTATAATCCTAATGGGATGTCCCTGAAAATAATGCCTTAAATTTCTGGCGGTTATCATCACAACCAGCACCAGATTTTCAATCTTCTGATAACTTATCTTGGCCCCCTTCAATACCTTACTCACAAAATACATCGGTCTTTCACCGGTCTCCTCGTCGTGCACCAGCGCTTAGCTGACAGCTTTCTCCGACAAGGACAAATACTGAATAAGGGGTGAATTTTCTAGTGGTCGGACCAAGATAGGTGGTGCTGAGAGAAACTACTTCACCTCTTGGAAAGCTCGTTCACACTCTTCTGACCAGTTGAACTATGCAGCCTTTTTGATGGCCGAGAAGAAGTGTATATATTTATTGCCAACACAAGATATGAATCTGGACAAGGCAGACCGCCTTCCGGTTAGTTTCCGCACTTCCTTCACTAATTTCGTACTTCTCATGTCGATTATGGCTTGTCACTTATTCGGGTTGGCCTCTATTCCTCGATGGGTAAGCATAAACCCCAGGAACTTGCCGACCTGCACCCTGAATGAGCAATTGTCCGGGTTGAAGCGCATATTGAACTTTCCACCGATCTGAATGTCTCATCAAGATCTTCTATATGGCATCTCCCCTCCGAGGCTTTGATCACCATATCATCTACGTAAAGCCTCCAAATTTCTCCCGATTTGGGATGCAAACACCATTTCCATCAGACATTGGTAGGTAGCCCGTGCATTTTTAAGGCTAAACTACATCACTTCGTAATGATAATTATTCCTGTTAGCCATGAAGTCCGTTTTAGGGGCATCCAAAGGACTCATTTGTATCTGATTATATCACGAGTAGGGGTCCATGAAGATAAGTATCTAAAACCCTGAAGCACCACCGATTAACATGTCAATGCATGGTATCAAATAAGAGTCTTTAGAGCAAGCTTGTTGAGGTCTGTAAAATCCATGCACATACGCCACTTTCTAGTCTTCTTTTTGACCATGACAACATTGAATAGCCATGTAGGATATTTTATTTCATGGATGAACCCCGCATTCAACAGCTTCCCTAACTCTTTCGATACGGCCTTCCCATTCTCTTCTCCGTTCTTCCACTTCCTCTGGGCTACTACTTTTAGTGTCGGGCCGATGGATAGTTGGTGACATAAAATGTCTAGGTCAATTTCGGGCATGTCGGATGGTTTCCATGCGAAGAGGTCCACATTCTTCCTTAATATGTTAATAATATATGATTTCTCCTCTAATGTCAACCCAGAACCAATTTGTGTGGTCTGAAAATTATTCAGTTCTGATCTGTATCTCTTATAGCCCCCCCATGGACACCAGACCATCTAGCGTCAGGTCCTCCCTAGGGTCTAGATCTATTAGATTTATCTTCAAAGCAGCAACTTCTTCGGGCAGATCCTCCAGTGGTTTCTTTTTCATCTCCAAATTATCCTTAAAACATTTACGAGTCATCCTTTAATCGCCTTTAATGACTCCAAACTCGCCCATCACGTAATGGATACTTAATAGTAAGGTACAAAGTGGATATGGCGGCTTCCAGAGCATTGAAAGACGATCTTCCTATTATTATGTTGTAAGGAGATGCCTCATTCACGATAAGATACCTCACTTTGACGAACTTGGCGTTGTCTCCACTTCTGAACACAGTTGACACTAGCCAGTTCCCTCAGACCTACACCTATTCGCTGATAAACCTGACTAGAGTGCCTTTAAACAGAAGTATTTTTTAGGTGTCTATGCCCATGCCTTTGAAAGCATCGCAGTATAAAACATTGGCGAAACTGCCAAGATCGATAAGTACTCATTTGGAACTCTATTCGTGTATCTGAACCTTTAATACCATTGGGTTGTTCTCATGGGCCAGTATGTTCCTCAAATCTCTCCTTGAGAAGCTCACGGCCTTTAATCTCTCTTCCTCCGACTTGGGTGACGTGTCTTGTGAAACGTGCATCACTGTTCGGACATATCTTTTTCTTGTCGAGATGGTTTCTCCACCCTCGACAAAACCCCCAACATTAGTGTTTAGAGTCTGGTGTGTCATACGTGTTTCACGCACTTACTCTATAGCTTTTCCCTTCTTAGTATGTGAATCTTCCGAACCGGACTCCTTCTAAGAATGACTTCTTTTTCTCGTCGATCCCCCGCCTTCCATCACGTAGGAGAACAGTTTGTCGCGCTGGATGAGTATCTCGATTTCCTTTTTTAGTTGTTGACAATCTTCTATATGATGTCCCTTCATGCGATGAAAGGAGAATCAGGGGCCATCCTCCCTTCCCGTCACCGCGCCAACCATCTGAGGCTGAGGCGACTTGACTATCAGTCCCAAATGATCTACTTTTCACAATATGTCTACCCTCTTTGTGGTAAGTGGGGTAAATGATTCTGGGTTGCTGTTGAACGATCTTCAATTAGGGCATTGTGCACGTCGTTCCCGGGTTGGGAATCTTTGATGCTCCTTTCTATATGTCGCCCCCTTTGACTTAGATTGCGGCTTTTCTTTGACATTTCGGTGTCGCTTTTCTATGTTGCTTTTTTCACCCTTGATATATCACTCAGCTTGGTTCATAACTTCCTCTGTGTCATAGGTCAGCTTCTGAGCCATGGACTCATTGAAGTGGCCTGCCCTCAAACCGCTCTAAAAAGCCCCCACAAATATTTCTTGATTTTGATAGGAGACTTTTATATCTGCTCGTTAAAACTTGCCATGGACTCACGAAGGAATTCTGAAGGACCCTGCCGCACATTAAACAAATTGGTGGTGGACACCTTCTTGTGCTTGCTGACCACAGAATGCTGGGCCATCTTGCGGGTTAAGTCTTAGTACGCAGTGATAGAGAACCTTGGCAAACTCATATACCAACGCAAGGCAACATCTTTAAATGTCCCGACCATGAGTCTCTTTACTACATTCCTAATCTTAGGTGTCCGGGCTGTAAGTCGGCATAGTGATATATATATATATATATATATATATATATATATATATATATATATATATATATATATATATATATATATAGACGTTCACATATGTGAGCGTGCGTGTGTTTTTTTTTTTATCAATTAGATTATTTAATTAATTAGTAATTAAATTAAATAATAAAGATTAGTTAAATTAATATTTACTTAAATTTGAATGAATATGTCCGATGATTAATTTTAAAATAATGGGAATTTTAATTGATCATCTTTTAACTTCTTATGTTTAGACTATAATCGCTAGTATATGATATACGAGACAAATTATCTTCTCCCTTCATCAAAAAATGACTGTATTATCTTTCATTACGTTTGGGGTGATTACTGATTGAAAAATATGTTTATCTCTTTCATTACGTTTGAGGACTACTGCCGACAGTCTTTTATCAACGAGTCCTGATATTTTGAACATCCTTCATAAATCAACATATGTAGACCTCAAGGTTGTATATTTTCAATGTCTATAACATATTCATTTGACTACTTAATTTCTGCAAAGTAATACGTTAAAGCATGCCTTGTTATATTGCTCTAATGTCAATACTATTACCAGTAGTATTACCAGTAGTCTTTACAGGAGCACAACCCATTTTTAAAATAGTGAAAACGGTTGCAATCTCTTACAACAATCTCCCTATTAAATTCCCTAGATGCCATTTTCATCACAACATGACAATCCATACAAATCCTCAAGTTCTTTACAATCCTTATTGTGGTACCCGGGCTTGTCCTCAAAAAACAATATGCAAGTGCTAGTTTTTCACTATGAAGAGATAATGCAAACTCCTTTCCTTCCTCATCCAAATCAAGCAACACCTCATTCGTGTTACGTACGTAACCATGCTTTTCCAATCTCTTTATAATCTCATCAACCATCCTATATATATTTTCTGTTTCTGGATGAGAATCACCCCCTGCATAAAACTCATGAAGAATGCCGTCTATCTCAACCAAACTGCACCCTGGAACTTTCTTGACGCCCCTCATTTCCATAAGATCTCTCAAATGTCTCACTTCCTTCCACTTACCCAGCTTTGCATACACATTAGAAAGAAGCACATAAGCACCACTGTTTTTAGGGTCCAACTCAATGAGTTTCTTTATTGAAATTTCACAAGTTTCAATGTCACCATGCATCCTAGCACCACTAAGCAAAGCTCCCCAAATCATCACATCAGGTTCCATAGGCATTGATTTCACAATATCCCAAGCATCTTCAATTCGACCTGCTCTGCTGTACAAATCAACCATGCAACCATAATGTTGTATCAAAGGATTAACACCATACTCTTCTGTCATCCTATTGAAATACTGATTCCCTTCACTAACTAATCCACCATGTACACAAGCACAAAGAACACCCACAAACGTCACAGCATTTGGCCTCACCCCATCATTTATCATCTTTTCAAAAAGTTCAAGGCATTCCTTTGAAAGTCCATGCAAAGCCATGGCAGCAATCACAGCACTCCAAGCCATTACATCTTTCCCTTCGGGACCCATATTACCAAATATGCATTTAGCCCTTTCAATATTCCCACATTTGGCATACATGTCAATCAAAGCGGTCCCCAAAACAACATCAACTTTCATCCCTGATTTATCAATATAAGCATGAACCCATTTACCATGTTCAAGTGCACCTAACCGCGCACAAGCCGATAGCACAGAGGTCAATGTAAACTCATTAGGCCTAATTCTATGACCCTCCATCACCTGCAAATCACGAAACAAGGAAAGTGCAGCTTTGTAGTCACCGCAACTCACATAACCATGAATCATACAGCTCCAAGATCTCACATTTCGTTGCGGCATACGATCAAAGATTTCCCTCGCAACATGAATCATACCAACCCTCGCATTTGCATGGATGATAGTATTCCAAGATGGCAAGTCCGGTTGCGGAATTTCATCAAACAGTTGGCGTGCAAAAGAAACGCTACCACATAAAGAGTACATGTTAATAAGAGATGTTTGAACAAAAGGGTCATCTGAGAGACCAAAGAGAAAGATTTGGGCATGAAGTTGTAGTCCATGGGAGAGATGAGAATGGGCATTGAAGGATTGAAGAAGGAAAGGGAATGTATGGAGATCTGGAGATACGGAACGGGAGCGCATGCGAAGGTAGAGAGAGAGTGGGGAATGTTGAAGTTTGGATTTGAGTCTGACTCGAAATCGAATGAGGTTGTTCCATACAAAGGATTCTACGTTTGGGTGGAAAAGATGAAGACTTGGGTGTCTGCATGATATTGTTTTCGTCAAAGCTCGCATTAGTGCCTATGTTACCAAAACATTACCCAAATTTTAGAAACAACATTTTGTATCATACCTTAAAACTAGTGGGCACTAATTTTTAACTAGAAATAAATTTACACTCAACCAATCATCAAATTTTAATTAATTAAATAATAAATTTAAAATATTCTCTCTCCTTTATAATCATAACTACCCATAAATTTAATTAAAAAATAAATTAAAATTTAAGTAAATTTAAAATTTTATCTCTCATTCATAATAATTTGTCTTATTTTTATTAATTGTGTCTAAGAAAAAGGTTTTATATACGTTATTACACAAGAATTCTTTTAAGAGAATTTTTTTTTAAAATAAATACAGTAAATACTTGTACGTTCATATGACTACTGGTGTGATATATATATATTTTTTTGTTTTTAAAATATAATAAAAATATAAATAAAAAAATTTATTTTACCAAAATAACATGTTATTTAAAAAAAACATATTTTTAAAATAAAAACAAATGTGTTTTACCAAAATTATTTTATATTAATAATATATATTTTAATTTTTCATATATTATATTAAAAAAATTGTATCTTGAATTAAAAATAATTTAAAAATAAAAATTTTAAAAATAAAAATATAAGATACATAACTAATTAAAAAATAATACATTTTTCTCTTATTTTATTTAATTTAACAAAAATTGTATTAATTTGTGCGTTCAAACTGAATTTAATATGATTACTCGTGCGTTTACACGATACTTATATGTTATTTGTACGTTCGTAAAAATAATAGTGTGTTATTGTTTTCAAATATATAATAAAAAGTTAAATTAAAAAAAAATTCATAACCAAAATAATTTATTAATTTATAAATAAAAAATAATAAATCGATTTCTATAATTTTTTTTATATATAAAAATATTTGAATCAACAATATAATTATTCTTATATATAAATTTTTTTGTTTTAGAAATATTTATAAAAGAAAATTTAAATCAGTTCTCATTATTACTTAATATTTTAACTTAATTAGTTCTTTTGAATATATTTCAAACTATCTTCACGTTTAAATCTTGGTTTAAATCTTGGCAGGTCGCATAATTACTCTCCAATCTATCAATCAGTTGATTTTGTCACAACATAGTTTTCTCATCCGGAACCACAGATAAATATTCTCCGTTAAAACATATCAAATTATGGACTACCAAGTAACGTGAACGAAAATTAATGATGTATGTTGCATCAACTTAATTCCTTACATTGTACCAAAGCAGACATTATTCATTTAACTACAATTATTCAGGATGCTGGTGTTAGCATTTTGGGAACAGTTCCAAGCTTAATAAAAACACGGGACAATTGAATTCATTATAATAAAATTTATCTAGTCCATCTATTAAAAAAATGTATTCAATCTATTCACTAAATAAAAAATAAATTAATAAATTAGATTAAATCAATCTATATATATATATATATATATATATATATATATATATATATATATATATATATATATATATATATAATTCATCCAACACATTTTGATGATCTAATAGATTATTTTTATATTATTCTTTATATTCAATAATTTTTTAAAAAAAAATTAATCAAAAAAATATTTTTTTTAAAAATAAAGAAAATAATGTTACTCAGAATTTCGAAAAATCGAGCTCTTTTAGAAAATAAAAAAATTGGGTTTTTTGGAAGATCGAGTTTTTTTCGGAAAATCAAAAAAATCGAATTTTTTCTAAAAGTTGAGTTTTTCCGGAAAATCGAAAAAAAATTTGAATTTTTCGGAAAATCAATAAATCCATTTTTTTGGAAAATCGAGTGTTTTCGAAAAGTCAAGTTTTTTTTCAAAAAATCGAGTATTTCCTGAAAATCGAAAAATCGAGTTTTTTCAGAAAATAAAAAAAATCGAGCTTTTCCGATGAAAAATCAAGTTTTTTTGAAATCGAGTTGTCGTACCCCAAATTTACCCTACCGCGACGATTATATTTTTTTCAAGATTAAAACAGAAGAATTAGTTAATTAAGTATGGTACAACAATATCTGATGGTCCCTTCTTAAATTTAAGTCAATTAGAAGATGTACATTAATTCAGGAATGCAGATCTTTCTAAATCAAAAAGATTTGTATCCATTCGCGAAGCATGTTGGTCATTGACCCATCAAATTCGAAAATGAAAAAAAAACTATTTCAATAATAATTAAATTTTTGTTAAAACCATTTAGAGATTATTGTTGTTAGTAAAGGAAAGGGGTATGATTATCAAATTAACTAAAACCCATTAAGTTGACCTATATAATTTGTAAAAAAAAAGAGGAGAGAGAGTATTATTATTTAAAAAAATTGTTTATTTTAAATAAATAAAGAAGTAATATATTTGTTTTTAAGAAAAAGAAAAAACGTAAGGTCAATACTGAATATTCACTTAACTTGTTTTGCTACTTTTTTTAATTTATATTTTTCTTTTGTTGTTTTGGAAAAAAGGCCAATTGGGTCTAGTTTAAAAATTACACTGTTTTCTTATTGTATTAATAAAAAAACGCATTGGGCTGAGCAAATAAAGACAACAATACAAGCCCAATTCAACAAACGTGCAAGGCTCAATTAAACAAAAAAACATTCATTGTTTCAATCACCAACTAAGTTAGCGCATGTTACTAACAACAACTGTAGAAATCAGCAGAAGAACTAAAAACAAATCTAAAACCTAAATCACTAACGTATCAAATCCAGAAATTGAAACAAAATTAAATCTTTTTATAAACTAAATATTTAAGCAAATCTGCAGAATCAAAAACTCAATCAAATTCGGAAATTACATCTTACGAAGATCAAATCTTTATTCAATCCAAAATCCATTACAATCAAGGTGAATCAATTACAAAAATCAGATATCAATTAAATTACAACTCAAACAACTAAATCCCTAAATCTATTCTAATCCTAAATAACAATTAAGCAAAACCCTAAAAACAAAAAAAAACATATAAATAAGAGACGGATTTTACGGGGAGAGGGGGAACAACGACAGTACAGAGGAGAAGCGAATTTTACAGTACAGAAGAACTTGAAGAACACCAGTTGTCGTAGAAGAAGAAGCGGCAACTGGGGTTTCGATATTTGAAACCCTAGTTTTCATCGTCTCTGCCGCCGGACATCATCGTCGCGCCTCACCGCCACGGCCACCTGTAAAAGAGAAGAAGAACAGGGGATTAACCCAAATCGAAACACCTCCAGAATCAGAAGAAGACGATAGCGCAAAAGGGTAACGAATACTTAGCCTTTCGTTTTTTTTGGATTATTGAGTTAGGGTACTAGTGTCGCCGCCGGGAGGGGATGGGGTTCCAGGGTTTGGCTAGGGAAGAGGAAGGGTTTGTAACGCGAGAGAGTGAGGAAGATGAATACCACTGTAACTGAAACAATGAAAATGAAAATGGAATTAAAATAAATTGTATAATCCGCTTAGATCCAGTGCAGAAGCGCCTATAGAAGCTATCATAGTCCCTCAATTTCATTCGTTGGACACGCATCAGACGGTCACCAGGCCAAGTCTGCGTGATGGTCTGTGCATCCGCGTTACACGTGATCTCCCTGAACCCCTTCTTACTGCGTTTGGGCCAAGCCCAATAACTTTCTACACCCCCTTTTCTAGTTTTACTAAATTGTCAAACAAACTACACCCCCTGGCCAGCAAACGTATGGGCCTAGCCCAGTATTCTTTTAGCACCCCTCTCATTTTACTTGCTAACTGTAACTGCACCCCCTGGTAATTATCTATTTTATATTTTTTTATACAATTATTATATTATTTTAATTTTATTTTCTTGTTATTATATTATATTATCATTTTATAATAATTATTTTTATTATTATTAATTATAATTATTATTATTAATAGTAACTTTTTGTTTATAGTATTATTATTAAGATTTTTTATCATATTTTATTTATTATTTATTTATCATGTATATTAATAAATGATTTTTTTATTCAAAATGTATATATTATTTTATACATATTTGCATTAAATATTTCAATCATGCATTAATAAGGTATTTCACAATTAATACGATTCATAAAAAACACACAACAAATCTCAAACTATTTTTCGCAATAAATTAATTTAAACAACTGTTTTTTTTGTAAAAGAGTTTCAAACAGATTTTGACTTACTGCACATTTAGTCAAAATCTCCGCAATCATTATTCCCGGCCGAGTGCGAGGTGATTCAAAATACGTTTGCAACCTCTAAAAAACATCAACCTCATACGAACTATGAATTGAGAATCTGATCCCTCTTAAGAGGATACGTAGGCATACAATCAAAAATCGTAGCGAGTTCTCCTATAAAAAATTAAAACCCTTTTTCCTCCTAATTAAAACTTAAAACCCCTACTTTACCCAAACCTAACCCTAAAACCTAATATCCTTGTGAACAAAATAGATGAAAAGTGTCTAACACATTCCTTTCGTCTAAAGAAGTCTGAAACCTAGAATCTCTGTCTGCGAATTAGGGTTTTCTGTTAGATTCCTTTCCTTAGAATAAAAACTAATAGTGGCGACTCTGATTAAAAATCCAGTTGCGACATGAGTTTTTTTTCCGAAAATCGAAAAATTGAGTTTTTTTTGGAAAATCAAAAATCGAGTTATTTCAGAAAATCGAAAAAAACGATTTTTTTTCCGAAAAGTCAAGTTTTTTAGGAAAATCGAAAAATTGAGTTTTTTTTTCCGGAAAAACAACTTTTTTTTGGAAAATCAATTTTTTAAGGAAAATTGAAAAATCGAGTTGTTTCGTAAAATTGATGAATCGATGTTTATGGAAATATAAAAAATTGAGTTTTTTCGAAAATACGAAAAATCGAGTTTTTTCGGAAAATTGAAAAGTCGAGTTTTTTCTGATAATCGAAAAATCGAGTTTATTTGAAAATATAAAAATCAAGTTTTTTTTGGAAAATTGATTATTTTTTCGGATAATCGAAACATCGAGTTTTTTGGGAAAATAAAAAATTT